CATGATCCCTCAGAAAGCCCATATGGCCTTAAGAGAACAAACTCTACATTTAAAGTGGTCTAACATTTGCAACTTGGTTTAATCTGACAGGACTCTTATGCAGGATTATAGTACACAAACCTTCATTCCTTCAAATGCTGAGAGGCTCTTCGTGGATGTATGCATTAACTTCCCCTCTCAAGACATGGATCTCCCTGCTGGCTCAGCTTTCTATAGTCATGCACCTGCACAGCAGTCATTATCCCTTTCTTCATTGGAAGAAATTGCCTCTGCCTAGTCATTAGCACATTCATTTCTGACAGCACCTATTATCTAGCCAGGAGCTTTCTGTTTATCATTCATCAATGTGAACAAAAAAGTGGCACTGGAACCTCCGTTCCTCAGAAATACCCTGACCCTGGAAAAGGCATGAGTCACAGAATGTTTACTAGAAAGACTTGGCCTTTATATTTCTGGGTTACCTATAATAAATTTAATCCTCAGCTGGGAGTCTATTCTTAGAAAAGCCTAACTCTTTGGTCAAAAAGTTATCTTATTGTGGGCACAGTGAATTTATCTCACATATAGCTTTCAGTAATGATGTTCAAAGGCTAGCATCTTCTTTGATCCCATTGCCAATTGTGAGTACATGTGTTTGAGTTGAACTGGATTCCTGTGGCCATAATATTGGTCATCCTCCAGATTTCCTAGTATATTTATAACAAAAGACTAGAATAGTGAAAAGGTCCCACTGACATCTAGTAGAAAGTATGGAACTCTTAGAGATTTATTAAAGTTGTATATGCCAAATTCTATCATAGGATACTCTAATTAAACATTTATGAATCAAAATAGAACATAAAGAACAGACCAAAATTATAACTGGTGTCAAATTGTAAATGAAATTGGAGCTGAAGGTATCAAATCAAAGTAGACATGGACAAATCAAAGTAGACATGGACACCAAGAAGGATTCTATGATTGTAAAAAAAAGTCTTTTCCTTGGGGATTTACCTTTTTGTTTTGTTTTGTTTGGGATTTTGTTGCTACTTATTAGAGAAAATGCCCTAAGTGGCCTTTACCTTGGGAAAACTAAAGGTACTGGCTAATAGACAGAGGGAACCATCAAGATTTTCTCAACAACAACAAAAAAATAGAGTTCTGAAGAAGGCAGAACACGCAGATGGAGTTATTAAGAGTTATTAAGATGTATTGAAAGTTTGGCCATAAAAGAGAAAGATCCAAACTATACTCTTGTGTGAAGTCCTTTTGATTCCTAGCCATTGTCACTATCTAAAGCTAGCCTTCACCTCACACTGTTCTCCAGGCTACATGATTTCCTGTGATCTCTGAGTTTTCTTTCCAGATGAGAGGAATAATTCTAGATGAGAGGAGTTATTAACATGACACTTTGTGGCCAAAACTGAGAAAAAGCAGTGGTTGAAGGGCATGTGATACCCAGGAGACAGAGTAAGACTCATTGAAATAGGTATGAGAAAAGGACGGCTGAAAATGTAAGCATTTGGCTAACTGTAGGAAAAAGGGAAGTTTTTCATTACTAACGCTCAAAGGAAAATAATGATTGCTGGTGTTTCAGAAATAGGATAAGTGAAACCATAAGTACCTTATGGTGTTTGGAATTAATGTAGTAATGAAATGATAGCAGAAATCAAAGGCTGCTCGTGGGTTACTGTGTTGGAGTAGTTCATGAAGAGAATTTACAGGGAAAATGAATTGATTGTTTCCCTTCATCCTTCCCTCTTTATAACATTTTCCTTGGAGATCTCAATGACTGATCACTCTTGATACATTACACTTAAATCAATGCACGTACAGCTCTGTTTTCTTCAAATAATTTGTCTGCTGAATGTATGGCACATTAGTTTAGTAGTGTCGTTTTAATTAACAAAATAAGTGATCACAGAAGGAAATCAGAAGGAAGGGAAAAAAAGAAGGACAAATGAGTAAGAGTCATAATAGGTCACAATGAACACATCCTCTCAGATGTTCTGTGTATGTTTATATGTACACACATACATAATCTTTCTATAAAAATTTTCACTATTTTACTAGTTACTAGTTCATTTTAGGGATTTATATAATTAACATTTAGAACTGTACCAACAAAATTCTGTATTGTTTAAAATTACATAAAACAGAAACAGACTTTGTAGTAACTATGACCACTTTATATTTAAAATTTGGCATATTAGGAAATTTCATATATGATAATAAAAACAAACTATGCATAAAGAAAAAAAAAACACTATGTTGAAAACTGACATGGAAGAAAAAGAATGCTGGCATTGTTGTCTTTATCCATCCATTGCAAACTTCCTAGCACAATGGGAGAAAAGGAGGGATCAGGGTTGCAGGATAGGACATTACTTACCATTCCAACTCAGTTTTAAAACACTACTGCACAAATCTGATAAACACAGGATGATTCAATGTGAATCTACTTTAATTGATTTGCTCTGGCAGTAACAAAATACTTTTTAAGCAAGTGGGCATACATATAAATATTTATAAAATAAAGTCCTTCCCTTGCATTCAACATTTGAACATATTTATTAATAACCACAAATGTATTAGACTAGGAAGCTATGACTATCTCAATAAATGGTAAGATTAATTTGATCAACTAAGCAAGTATTCATGTTAAAAATTTAGAAATAGAATACCCAGTAAACTGATTGCCTAGTAGCAATTAACTATATAATGAAAAACCCATACCACACCTCAAAACTCATAATAAAATTTTAATGGTATTGAATTAAACTAGAAACAGTGTAGCAATGCTGTCAGCAGGGCCAAAAGGCATCATACTGAAAATTGTGTTAAAAGATGATTTAAATAGTGAAAAATTCACATTTATAAATGAAACAACTGTTTACATAGATTGATATGTAACAGAAAGCAAAGCAAACAAACAAAATGTGAGCACATCTTGTGGATATAAAGTACATACAGAATCAATGCCCCTTTGTGCTAATAATGATATAATCTGCTGGAATTTATTTTCAGTGCTTAAAATTAATCCCAGGGACTTATCCATTTTACCATCATCAGACTATACAGTATGTAATTTAAAGAAAGTTATGACCAGCATTAGCAATAAACATGAAAAAATCTATGTAATAAAAACCTACAAAAACTTTCATAACATGAATTAAAAAGCATTAGAGAATATACCAGATTCAAATATAAGTCTATAAGTATAACATGTTCACAGAAGATATATCTCTCAACTATAAAAATCTATAAATTTAATTCTCAAGTTTCATTAAAGCAAATCAATATTCAAACAGAATCTTTTAATTGACCTTGGCTGGTTTATTCCAAAACAATGAATAAAGACCCAATCTTAGCTAACATAACATCAATAAGGAAAATGAAGTTACAAATGTTATATGTACCTATAGGTTAGTGCATAGGTGTTCTTACTTATTGTTTATATTGTTCATTATCTCATAACTAAACTTAGACAATTTGTAGACGCAAAAGAGAAATATAGTTTATAGTCAATTGGAGCATGATAGAATAAGATGGCCTTCAGAATTATGTTGAATGGACCTATGAACAACATTCTTATCTTCTTGATGTTAATATAGCACTACTAAAGTTTTACCATAAATTTTGGTGGCTGATGCAAATGCAAGATTTCACAATTGCAAAATAAGAGTATGCAGCAAGCAATATTCTAAGCTTTAAGGATTTTATCAAAGTACCACAAAAGTGAAGACAATACACAAAGGAAGTAAAGGTATTTTCAACCCATAAGGTAAATTTATTTATCCACATAGAAATTAACTAAACAAACAAACAAACAAACAAAAAACCCCAAACAATTCTAAGTAAAATGAACTTAAATTGAAAACAGGAATTTTTCCAGAAAGCCTACTAGCCACAGGGATCTAACTAAACAGGTATATGTTTCCATGATGGAAGAGAAACACACAGATTAAAGGAAAGTCCATTCAAAAATATTTTCAGGCAAAAAGTTAAAAAAAAAAAGGTTTTAGAATAACGAAGCAAACTATTTGCTGTAAAATGAATTTGTATGTTTAGGAATTTTAAAACATAAACATGTAGCAAACATGTTAGCACAAAAAATCCCAGATCATATTTCACATATTTAACATGCAAAGCTAGGAAGACAGGATTTTCAGGAAGCTCCATAGTTTCGAAAATCTATTTTCAAAAGAATAAAACGATGAAAAACACAAAATACTACATATTGGTGATAGGAAAACAATTTTTTTGATCTTAAGTTTTGTAGCCAGTACTATGGTATATTTTTCATTATTACATATATATGTATATATATTTCAAATCTCTTTAAAAGCCCAGCAATTTTTTAAACGGGAGCCTTTACAATACTGTTCATACCCTCACATGTGCAAATTCCACCTTCTGAGTCAAGGTTTCTTTGTTACCATGTAACCAAAACAAAACATGGAATCCTCTTGGTGTCTGAGGCTGATGTAAGATTGAAAACCCCAGCTGTATTCTCTGCTGAAAAACTTGTTTTTTGATCTAACTTAGTCTCCATTTTTATTGTAATTGCACACACATGATCCCTAGTATACCTGGAAGCTTAATATATCTTTGTCTACTTCTGGCTTGCAAATAAAGATCCATTTATAAACTAAAATGCATTTCAACTTTGGAAATAAGCAATGCATCATAAATACAATTGAATGAATTCTTAAAATGTGAACAACAAAACACACCTGACCTCTATTGATTTATGGCTTAATTTAGAGTCAAAAATAACTTAGAGGCAAAAAATAAGAGCGTTTTCATTTCTCCTAGGAGAAATGAAGAGAATCAAGCCTAGCTGCCTCCACCAAGACCCGGCTGACGACTCACGTACCGGCTTGGAGACTCTGAGCCCCGCCCCCGAAGCCCTGCCTCTGCCAGAGGCCCCGCCCCAGCGCCACACCTCACAAGAAGCCCCGCCCCCGGAGCCTCGCCACGCCCAGAAGCCGGGGTCCCGCAGAGCCCCACCCCCGGAACCCTGCCCTGCGGTGTCCTCTGGGAGGCGGGACTGAACGTCCGCCGCAAGAGCTGTCAGCCCTGGCCGAGCTCGGGATTCCTTCCCTCGGTCGGTGAGTCCCCGCCAGTGGCCTGCTCTCAGATCCCGGTGAGTAGTGCGGGATCCCGGAGCTGAGGCCCACAGCGACTCCGCGGCTAACGCCTACGCGCTTACCGCCAGCCAATCGGGGGCTGCCTGCTTGCGGCGCCCTTTGACCCAGGAACCCTGTCCTGCTCAGCCTAGTTACCCGCATCGCAGCCGGGCCTGGCCCGGCCGCTCAAGTTTGCCCCAAGGCGGTTTGCCACTCCTCCACCCGGAGTCCCGAACCTGGGAGTGAGTCCGAGGCCCCAGGCGTTCGCGGCGGTTGTCTTCCTGGCTAGCTTTGCACCGGAAAGGCCGCCAGGACAGGTCCCATCTCCGAGGTCTTTGTCCAGTTCCCCTTTAACATGCTTGGCTCTGTGTGCACTATAGAAAGCCCCTCCGCAGTGGCCGGTCTCTTTTCCGTTTGCGGTGGAACAAGTTGGGCAGTACGAGCGGTTAAAACTTTCGTTTCGTTATGTCAAGCACCTACGGATGATAGAATGGGAGATGAAGAAGTACTAAAAACTAATTACAAGGAGGCTTACAAGAGCTAATGTAAGTCTGGATGAGCTTAGAGATAAATATAAATGAGACTAGATGATGGTCTATTCATCTTTCAGTGTATAGGCAGCTGGTTGAAAGAAAAATGCAAACTTAATCCAGGTTTTGGTGAAAGTAATTCACGTTAGTTACACTTACAAAGCTGTAAGTGCTTCATACTCCTATAGAGGTAATGGGTATATGATCAGAAAGTAAACATGATGCGCTGCCTTCTCATTAGTTGTGGGCCACAGTTCAAGGAGGAGGGAACCATTGATCATATCTTCTAAGCCATCTTCCATGGTGAAAAAAGTCATTGTAGCATGCCTTCTATACTTGAAGCCACATAGGCCGCAGCCAGGAGCCTAAGTTCCTGTACTGTATTCTGCGCTTGCTAGATGCTCAATGGCAGGTTACTTGGCTATTTGCTAGCCCAAAAGCTTGGAAAAAGTTATCTGCTGGGTTTCATCACTTGTAACACGAAGTACATAGAAGTACCTGCAACATCTACTTCACAGATGGTTGCGAACATAAAAATGGAATAATGAGATTATGTCTGACTGAACTTCTGTACAAAAGATTTCTTCTGCTTGCAATAGAACTGACCTGAGCAAGAATCTGGAAGTTTCAGATGTGTATTTTTAGCGTTAGTTTTATCTATGTCTAGGTACTCACTAATTTTAAAAGATGTTAAAGGAAGAAAAATGTTGCCACAGTCTTAAGCTCACATGTGTCTATATAAATTTACACTAACTTTGGCCTAGGCAATAAGTCATTCAAATGACCTTTCCATTTTTAAGATATATGCAGATTCGCCCTCAATTCAGTATTTAATCACTCATCTGCTTTATACCCATTGGAGAAGGGAGCAGAAGTCCTAAACTCAAGCCCATCTGGTAGAGGTGTCAGGAGCTTTCCTAAGAGCAGGCCAGTGCTGCACCTGCCTAACTCAATCGTATCTAGCATAAAATTAGAAGAGATCAGTATCAAAACAAAAGAATAAGTGGAAGAAATTTTTGTAATTTAACTGATAATTTTAAAAATGGAAACTGACTTTTTCTAAGTTATATTATATGGGCAAATATTTTAAAAATCAGTATCACTCTGTTTCTGGGTCATTTAGATCCCTTGGCTACACGAGTATGTAATACTTTTTTAAAATTAGAAATCACATTAGCTATCATTTTAAAATATTAAAAGCGCGAAACATAAAAATAGCCTGGTTTCAGAAGAACCAGTCTGTAACTTCTGGAAAGTGCAAACTTCCCTTTGATGAACACAGATTGTTAGTAGCCAGTACCTTGAGTTTCCTGCTTTGAGAACCTATACGCCAGCAGTTGACTTGTAGAGAGATTTTTGTTTGTTTGTTTGTTTTTCTCACAAGTAACTTCTGAAACCTCTTTCTTTAGTTAAAGGTGAGTAAGTTGATCCTTTGCCTGTCTCCTGCAAGAGCACTGCTTGTATGATGCTTCAGAGGCATTGTATTGTCACAAATTTTAAGATGGTAAGATGGACTTTAAAATTATTAAGTCTTCATAAATGCTCATTTACATTGTTGTTTATTATGCACTTGACACAGATCTGGCCTGCATATGAAGAGTAGAAACTTTTATAGATTTACTTCCCAAACACATGCTAGTGTCAGAAGCAGGAGGGCCAAAACTTAAGCTGATAGTGATCAGGGATCATAATATCTGTTGGGATCTACTGTAGTATAAGTCTACTTTAGTAAATTTATACTAGAAAACTGGTACATAGAAAGGTTGGTTGCAGTCACAGTGTGAGAAATACAACCATTAAAGGAGAACAGGTTTTCTACTCAGGAGACTTTGGGAGAGGCATTAGGAAGAGAAGGCAGATTTCTGCTTTGACTTGAACCTTGAATGCTTTTCTAGAGATAATATATTCAGTATATTTATTTATTTGTTTGTTTTTCCAGGCAGGGCTAAGGATCAAGACCCCAAGGAGTTAGTCATGCTAGGCATATGTCCTAACCACTGAACTACATGCTCAGTCCTATATATTTTGGGTTTTTGTTTTTTTTTTTTTTTTTAAATAATTTTATACATTTCCTTGTATCCCAGCTGTAGCCCTCTCCCTCTTTCCCTCCCAATCCTCCTCTCCCTCCCTCATCTCCTCCCTGCCCCTTCTGAGTCTACTGAGAGGGGATGTCCTCCTCTCCTTCTGTCTGGCCCTAGCTTATCAGGTATCTTCAGGATGGTTGCAATGTCCTTATCTGTGGCCTAGCAAGGCTGCTCCTCCCTTGGGGGGGAGGGGAAGCTCAATGAGCCAGACATTGACTTCATGTCAGAAACAATTCCTGTCTCCCTTACTAGGGAACCCACTTGGATACTGAGCTACCATGGGCTATGTCTCAGCAGGGGTTATAGGTTATATCCATGCATGGTCCTTGTTTGGAAAAACAGTCTCAGAGAAGACCCCTGTGTCCAGATATATTTGGACCTTGTGGGGCTCCTGTCCCTTCTAGGTCATACTAATTCCTCCTTCCTTCATGTGATTCCCTATACTCTGCTGAAGGCTTGGTTATGGGTCTCAGCATCTGCTTTCAAACACTGCTAGGTGGAGTCTTTCAGGTGCCCTCTGTGGTAGGCTACTGTCCTGTTACTTGTTTTCTCCTACTTCCAGTGGGTTCGTTTTATTATATTAATTAATTAATTCATTCATTTTGAGAAAGAGCCTTAATATGTAGCCCTGGCTGGCCTGGAAGTTCCAGGATGGCCTGGAAACTCATAGAGTTCTGCTAGCCTCTGTTTCACAAGTTCTGGGATTAAAGATGTGTGTCACATCCATCTCCCAGGTCTGGATTGGTTTCATGTCACCCAACTTTACATCATGATCATCATGAAGAATTGCTCATGGTTCATAATTACTTAGTGATATGTTGTCAGATGTGACATGAGTCTTCATCCTGACGGTCCTATGAATAAGGTAACTGCAATGGAGAAAATAAATATAGAAACATCAGGTTAGACAAAGAAAATACAGGAATTTGGACTTGTAACCACAGAGCTCAAAAAATTTAAATAATAATTTTTACTTATTATTTGAAAATTTCATATATATATATATAGTGTATCTTGAACTTATCTACACTCTAGTCCCCCCTCCAACTTGTCCCAGAATTTGGCCAACTTCATGTCCTCCATAATTAATTTTGTTTTGTTTTTCGAGACAGGGTTTCTCGGTGTAGCCTTGGCTGTCCTGGACCCACTTTGTAGACCAGGCTGGCTTCAAACACAGAGAGCTGCCTGCCTCCACCACCCTCAGCACTAGGATTACAGATATGTGCCATCACACCTGGCCTCCATAATTAATTGAGTTTTGTTGTTGTTGTTGCTTTTACTTAGTGCTGCACAAGAACACATAGGTGTGGGGTCATTCTCTGTGCTATAAGCAACATAGGGGTGGCCACACCCTGAGGATAATGTGACTGTGTCTCTCTCCAAGCAGTCATCAACTACCAGTAGTGCTCAGCTAGATTTTGGCCCTGAGAACACTGCTTCCTGCTGGAATTTTTAATTCTCTTGTTCTTGTGCAGTAACTACAGCTGCTGAGTCCATTTCATGTCCAGAGGATAGCATTTCACAGCATCCTCTCTCCATCCTCCAGCTCCTACATTCTCTCTACTCTTTTTCAGCAGTTTTCCATATTCCAGTGCTGTAGGGGCACAGATGTAAAATGTCTGGTCAGTACCATCTGTGGTTACTTGAACCATAGACACAGAACTCCAATGTAGAGAGCAGAGTGTATACACTATGTATAATGGATGAGTATGTATGGGAATATTTACGAGTACAAATATATATGCATGTGTCTGTTTGTGTGGCCTTAGTTTCTTCATGACATTAATTTTTGAACAAAATTCCATAGCAGTGATTGTTTCATTCACAGTATATTCTCTCTAGAAAACCATTGTCAACTGTGCCCCAAATTAATTTTGACCGCTTGTTGAAAATGCTGTTTGGTAGTCTGTCAACTGTCATGTTCTCCATTTTATGAGTTAAGAATGTTTTGGTGAAATACTCACGAATATATGGCAATACTGTGTCCCATCAAACATTAACATGATTCTTGCCTGTTACTTTGTATATTAGTCCATTATATGTTACAATAAAAAGGTTCAGAAAACTAGATCATTCATATGGAAGAGAAATTTATTTCTCACAGCTCTGACATTAGGAAATCTAAAATTAAGATTTGGCAGAATTAGTTGTTGGAGGAGGGATGCTGTCTGATGGTGTCTAGATATTGTATCCTTTGAACAGGAAGAGCTCAAGAGAGCAAACCAGCCTGACAACACTATTAAGTCATTCCTGATGTGGTATACATATACAGTTCAATTTTGTTAAGCTTTTAAGAAAAATGAGATAAAGGAATTTGCGTGGAAATTGAGGCATCTGGAAAATGTTAAATGAGATAACTCAAGTTAGAAATCACATGTTCTCTCTCATTTGCTGATCTTTAGGGCATATTTCTATGTATGTGTGTATGTAAGGAGGAGGGAAAGCATGGTTATAGGTTATGGAACTTGAAAGGAAAATTCAAGAGTAGAAAGGGTGTTGAAGAAGGAGGTGAGGATATTAGGACACAAGTAGCGTGGCAGTGGAAAGTAAGCTAGGGTAACAGGAAATGCAAGGGCTTTCAACAAGGGCTGGGGGACAAGAAAGAAGAGATCCATTGAAAACAAATATGCTTGAAAGTGCCACCAGGAAACTTAAAACAGTAATCTAGAATTTAAAACTTTTAATAAAAGGTAAAAAAATATTCATGGTGGGTGGAGCCATCATCTCCCACTAAGTCTGACTCAACAGTGTTGAGATAGGAATTATGTTTTTGATTCATGGATTTTGGGAATACAGTCATTCAGTGGTAAATGATTGTTGCCAGAATATCTAACCTCCATTTTTTTCCAGAACTATCATTACAAAGTTTTAAGTGATTTTATTCAATTCTCAAATAAAATTTAAAATGTATAATTATTCCCTTCTTCTAATATTATTTTTTCAACTTAAGGACCCTTTTGAAAACATTATCACTAGACTTTAATGCTTTTATTTAAAAGACTGACTCATAAGTATCTCCCTTCATTAACTGCCATTTTAAACTTTAGTCCATATAAATGAATTATTTACTTTGTGTATTCTGTATACATAAAGTTTAGTCACATGATGAAAAATATATTTCAATTTGTAAACAGGTTTCTAGGTTTCATCTGACTAGATATTATTGACATATACAATGAGATTTTCAAATCAGTACTTCTTGTATATGTGTATTTGCCTGTGTGTGTTTGGGTGTTTGTATGTGTGTGTGTACATGTTCTTTTATTTAACAGTTTTTGGTGATTTATTATAATACTGTTACTTTTTTAATGTCTAGGTTTTAGTTTCCATTTTAAAATCTGTGAAAAATATTGATGGTATCAGTTACTAACGATCTTTTTTTTTAATGAATTGTAGCAAAACACTTAACTATTTTGGAGTTTAAAATATGTCATCATGGCAAAATTTCGAAGAAGGACTTGTATCATTTTGTTACTATTTATTTCATTTGTCTTCTCCCTGATGATGGGCTTAAAGATGCTGAGGCCAAACACAGCGTCCTTTGGAACTCCTTTTGGACTTGACCTTCTTCCAGAACTTCATCCACCAAAGCCCTATTTGGGAAACAAAGCTGACTTCCAAAAGAGTGATAGAATCAACATGGAAACCAATACCAAGAATTTACAAGCTGCTGCCATGACTGTGTGGCCATCCAAGGCCTCTGAAGTGAACCTGGAAGAACTGCCTCCTCTGAACTATTTTGTTCATGTATTTTATTACAGTTGGTATGGAAACCCACAATTTGATGGTAAATATCTACACTGGAATCATCCGGTCTTGGAGCATTGGGACCCTAGAATAGCCAAGAATTATCCACAAGGGAGACATACTCCTCCAGATGACATCGGCTCCAGTTTTTATCCTGAGTTAGGAAGTTACAGCTCTAGAGACCCCTCTGTTGTAGAAACTCACATGAGGCAAATACGCTCAGCCTCAATTGGTTGGTAATTCGTTTATTTTATTTCCATATGTAAATAATTTGTGTGGACAGTTAAATTACTAATCAGTCTTTACTATTAGTTACAGTCTTAACTCTTATCCCTGATTAATCTGCCTGTGTATCCTGTTCTGGTTTGTTATTGTTGTTGTTGCTTTGTAGGACTGGGATTTGAACTGATGACTTCACATGTGCTAGGCCACCCCTCTACACCTGAGCTACAGCCCTTTTTGTCCTATATTGTGAGGCAGGGTCTTTAAGGACTGAAGGCTGGTCCTCCTGTTTTAATCTTTTAAGTAGCTGAGGTTATGGCCGTACGACTCCAGACCTAGGTAATATGTGTTTTTAAACATCTAGGTAACCACTTTTTAATTGGTTTTAATGTACTTTGTTTAATTGATAAAAGTGTTTTTAGATACACTGTTATTGTTTTCTAACTCAATTCACAATTTTATTATTAAAGAATTATACTTAATATAAAAAATTTTCTCATCTTTTAAAGTACCAATATACCCATGAAATAAAGTATCTCTGTAACCCAAAAGGCTTCATCCTTGATGGTGTATGGTAGAGCATGCCTGCCCTTTTAACACTTGGAAAGCTGAGGAAAAAAGGCCAGGAGTTCCTCCTTTGCCTAAATTGTCATCATTGCCCTATTTACTGCTGACCCCGACCACCATGCCAACAACTGTATCTGACCTCTGTCACTGTGAAGTGCTTGTGATTTTTCCCTTATGACAACAGAATTAATTAGCTATCTTCTTTGCTTGTCTTATTTTGCATAGCACAGGATTTTGTGATTCATCTGTGTTGTTAAGAATATCAGTTTTAGTCATTTTTACTGGTGATTATATTTTATTTTATGATTGAGGGTGTTTGCTTCTGTAGCCATGTGTTGGACATTTCCCCTGTTTTTGCTTTTTTGTAGTATACAGTTTGACTTTATTTCTTTTCAGTTTGTCAATTTCATTTTTTATTTAATGTAATAAGGCTTTAAATGTTCCATTTTGCCTTTCACTTGTCCTTTTTATGATCCTTTCTTCATCTTTATCCCTTATCTGACATTGAATTTGTGAATGATTTCATTCTGTAATCTCTTTTGGCCTAGTACATACAATCAATCTTATTTATTTTTAAAATTGCTGTAGTATTACATTGTATACCTTTAACTTTACTGGTGAAAGTAATCACTAGTTATTCTCATGTCACCAATGCCCCTCATCTTTCTCTGCCCTTTGTGTAATTTCCAAGTATATGTCTTTAGATAATACCCAGTGCCTGAGAAATGTTTTAGTCACTAGGGCCAAGCATCCAAAAGTTTCACCTAGCCAGGGCTGTTGTCTTTTGGAATTCCACCAATAAAGCCTGATGCTTTATTTCCATGTGTTCTTTTTATTGTCTTTCTATTATTCATTATTCTTTGAAACATGGTATTTGGGCTCAGGAAGAAGATCCTTCCTGAGTGACTTTGCTTTGTTTTCGCTGTTAAGAATGCTGATGCGGGCTCACCTAGAAACCTGCATGAAGCACAGCAGACATGTGAGCATTCATAGTCAGGGCTGTAGACTGCTGTTTCCTAGAGCTGCTCCACTCCTTCCAGGCACACGTGAGGGAGCTGACTTCCTGATCACTTTGATTATGAGCTTAGTAATCCTGCTAGGACCTTCTTCATGACATTTGTTATTACCTATCTTTGATGCTGGTCTGCTGTTAGATCAATAGCTGCTAGAAGCTATTGCATGATTATTATGAGTAGAATCCTGGTTTGAATTCTGTGAAACTATTGCTTACAATAGTCACATGCTTTGTGACTTTCAAGATGTGCTGTTTCCCTTATATATGTTTATTTCCATTGCTTTTCTAGGCTGTCAGGTAAGAAAATGTTTCTTGTTACCCTTGATGTTACAAGTGCAGCTAGTGGACTACTCAAATATTGATCAGTTTTTTTTTTCCCCCAAGTTTTATTTTCCCCAACATCCTTATCTAGGTGCAGCTCCATTCTTCAATAGCCAAAACTTCCCTGGACCCCCATCCGCTATCAGTTCTTTATTCTGTTACAGGTTTTTGCTATTTCTTGGATAGAATACGAAGATAGCTTTTCCTCATTAGCTTCAATGAAAGTGTCACTTTGTTCCTCTATTTAGAATTCTTCTGTGCGTATTATGACTATGACAAAATTTGATTGTTAAAGTCTATCTGCAGCAGTTTCTTTTTCTGTTTAAGAATTTCATCTGTGCATTTAATGCGGATTAACTGAATCTATTTTCCATTCCCTCCTCTCTAATTCTTCCCCTTACTGCCCCCCAACCACCATCACTTTTCATTTTCAACTTTATGTACTCTGTTTATAAACTCACTGAGTCCAATTAGTAGAGCCTATATGTGCATGATAGAGCCATCTACTGGAACATGGGTAATCTCTTAGGGACCACATCTCTGGAGAAAACTGTTACTTTTCCAACATCCTTAGAATTGCTAATTGTTCCTCAGCCAATCGTGGCATTAGGTGAATCCTGTACCCATCCATGATGGAATTTTGGCTGACTTCATTTTGAGCCATTTCTAATCTTTATTCCTTAATTTTCACAAGATTTCCTTTATATAATATTATTATTTCTTCCCCTGTATTAAAAAATCATTGGTCCAATGAGATATCCGTGCTGTCTCTTCTGCCCTACCGTTCCTTTATATGTGAAGCTTTGAAGTATTTGTCTTAAGTATTCTGTCTTTGGTTAATGATTTCTCTTTATGCTGGTGTTCCTAATACCTATATTGTAATTTCTTAGTAAAGAAATAAGTAGGTACCATAGGGGATAACTCCCATCATTTTGCCTATATTAATTCTTTTCTTAAATGGTTGTATAAAAAACAGAATATGGATGGTTAGAAGTTTTATTCATAATTTCCAGAAGTGAAAAGCTACCAGTATGTCTTTTAATAGGAAAGTGGATAAACATCCACAAAATGAATATGCAGCAGTAAAAAAAGTATGAGTTACTAAGTCATAAAAAGATAATGATAGAGCTAAAGTACAAGTAGTTAAGCAAAAGAGTACAGTTGTAGATGGCTATGTGCTTTAGGTTCAAGTTATATGACATTCTGACAGAGACAGAATTATAGAGAGTGAAAAATCAATTATTCCTGGGGCTATTCAGTGGAAGGAAGGAGGGTTAGATAGGCAGGAGACTAATGTTTATGTTAAACCAGTCTGTCCGATACTATAATGGTTAGTTTATCTACAGAACCAGACAACACTAATAAAAGCCATATTCATTAACTAATATATGATGGTATCTGCCTGTCAAATATAGTAAATATTGCATTTGAATGAAAGATGTGCAGGTGGAGAACTGGGCAATATGGTTGGGGATAGATATAAGGACTACATGCTTTCTTACTAAGAGCCTTAATTATTGTAAAATATGTGGTATATTAATTTCAAAAGATATCAATTGTTTAAAATAGTTACATAAATATTGGATCAAATAACCAAATAACTGCACCACCGTTTTGAATATACTTGGAACTCATGTTGCCAGTTTTTGACACCTGCAGTCACTCTTGGTAATGCCTTACTGTTTTTCATTTTTGTTATGATTTTCTATTAGGAGTACTGGCCCTGTCTTGGTATCCACCTGATTCAAGTGATAAGAATGGAGAAGCTACTGATTACTTGGTACCAACAATTTTGGATAAAGCTCACAAATATAATCTGAAGGTATTTTAATTTATTTTCAAACTATATGTATCATTGATATTCCTCTTACCTTTTATAGTAATAATATTTTATATACTCATTTTAATTAAAACTTGATATATGCAGAAATGTTTTAAAATATTACTGCTTCTTAAAGATTTGTTTTAATAATTTAAATTTCAGAACGAATCCAGTTTTAAAAAGATACCCCTTACTGTTTTTTCTTTTTTTTTTTTCATTTTTTATTTTAATTTTTATTAATTACACTTTATTCACTTTGTATCCCCCCCCTGGCCCCATCCCCCTTCCCAATCCCACCCTCCTTCCTCCTTCTGTACACATGCCCCTCCCCAAGTCCACTGATAGGGGAGGTCTTCCTCTCCTTCCTTCTGATCCTAGTCTGTCAGGTTTCATCAGGAGTTGCTGCACTTCCTCTGTGGCCTGGTAAGGTTGCTGTGATCAAAGAGTTGACCAATCAGTTCATGTCAGAGACAGTCCCTGTTCCCATTACTATGGAACCCACTTGGACACTGAACTGCCATGGGTTACATCTGTGCAGGGGTTCTAGTTTATCTCCATCAATGGTCCTTGGTTGGAGTATCAGTCTCATAAAACACCCCTGTACCCAGATTTTTTGGTTCTGTTGCTCTCCTGTGGAGCTCCTGTTCTCTCCAGGTCTTATTATTTCCTACTTCTTTCATGACATTCCCTGCACTCTGCCCAAAGGTTGGATAAGTCTCAGCATCTGCTTTGATACCCTGCAGGCTAGAGCCTTTCAGAGGCCCTCTATGGCAGGCTCCTGTACTGTTCCCTGTTTTCTCCTTCTTCTGATGTTCATCCTCTTTGCCTTGCTGTATAGGGTTTGAACATTTAGCCAGAGTTGTCCTCCTTGATTAGTTTCTTTAGGTGTACAGATTTTAGTAGGTGTATCCTATATTATATGTTTTTTTTTCTAAGCATGTTTTATATTCATTTATTACATTTTGGTTTTTTTGAATATAGACTTTTTTCTTTATTTTTAAATTTTTTATTACATTTTTATTTTTTACATTAATTACAGCTTATTCACTTTGTATCCCAGCTGTGGATGCCTCCCTAGTTCCTACCCTCTCTCTTTCATCTCCTCCCATGCCCCTCTCCAAGTCCACTGATAGGGGAGGTCCTCCTTCCCTTCCATCTGACCCTAATTTATCAGGTCTCATCAGGACTGCTGTATTGTCCTCCTCTGTGGCCTGGCAAGGCTGCTCCCTTGTCAGGGGGAGATGATCAAAGAGCCAGCCACTGAGTTCATGTCAGAGACAGTCCCTATTCCCCTTACGAGGGAACACACTTGGATCCTGAACTACCATGGGCTATATTTGAGCAGAGGTTCTAGGTTATATTCACAAATGGTCCTTGGTTGGAGTATTAGTCTCACAAATGACCCCTGGGCCCAGATTTTTTGGTTCTGTTGCTGACCTTGTAGAGTCCCTATCCTCTCCAGGTCTTACTATCTCCCCCTTTTTTCGTAAGTTTCCCTGCACTCTGTCCATAGTTTGGCTATGAGTCTCAGCATCTGCTTTGATACATTGCTGGGTGGAGTTTTCAGAAGTCTTCTGTAGTAGGCTCCTCTCCTGTTTCCTGTTTTCTCCTTCTTCCAATGTCCATCCCATTTGTCTTTCTGAGTGAAGACTGATCATCTTACTTACTTGCTTAGCTTCTTTAGGTATACATATTTTAGTATGTTTATCCTCTATTATATGTCTAATATCCACTTAAAACTGAGTATATACTATATGTATCTTTCTGCTTCTGGGATACCTCACTCAGGATAATTCTTTTTCTAGATCCCTTCATTTGCCTACAAATTTCATGATTTCCTTGTTTTTAATTGCTGAGTAGTATTCCATTTTGTAAATGTACCACAATTTCTGCATCCATTCCTCCATTGAGGGACATCTGGGTTGTTTCCAGATTCTGCCTATTACGAATAAAGCTGCTATGAACATGGTTGAGCAAATGTCCTTGTTGTGTGCTTGAGCATATTTTGGATATATGCCTAGGAGTGGTACAGCTGGATCTTGAGGTAACACTATTTCTAATTGTCTGAGAAAGTGCCAGATTGATTTCCAAAGTGGTTGCACAAGTTTATATTACCACCAGCAGTGGAGGAGGGTTCCCCTTTCTCCACATCCTCTCTAGCATGTATTGTCACTTGAATTTTTGATCTTAGCCATTCTGATGGGTGTAAAGTGAAATCTCAGGGTCATTTTGATTTGCGTTTCCCTGATGACTAAGGACGTTGAGCATTTCTTTAAGTGTTTCTCTGCCACTCTGTAGTCCTCTATAGAGAATTCTCTGTTTAGCTCTGTATTCCATTTTTTAAGTGTATTACTTGATTTGTTGCTTTTTAACTTCTTGAGTTCTTTATGTATTCTGGATATTAGCCCTGTGCCAGATACAGGGTTGGTGAAGATCCTTTCCCAGTCTGTAGGCTGTTGTTTTGTTCTGATGACAGAGTCCTTTGCTTTACAGGAGCTTTTCATTTTTATGAGGTCCCATTTATTGATTTTTGATCGTAGAGCCTGTGCTGATGGTGTTCTGTTCAGGAAGTTGTCACCTATGCCAGTGAGTTCTAGCCTCTTCCCCACTTTTTCTTCTAACTGATTTAGTGTGTCTGGTTTTATGTTGAGGTCTTTGATCTACTTGGACTTTAGTTTTGTGCAGGGTGATAAATATGGATATATTTGCATTTTTCTGCATGTAGATATCCAGTTGGACTAGCACCGTTTGTTGAAGAGGGCTTCTTTGTCAAAAATCAAGTATCCATAATTCTGTCGGCTTATTACTGGGTCTTCCATTTGATTCCATTGATCCACCATTCTGTTTCTATGCCTGTACCATGCAGTTTTTATTGCTATTGCTGTATAGTACAGCTTGAGATCAGGGATGTAGATACCTCCAGATGATCTCTTGTTGTACAGTATTGTTTTGGCAATTCTTGGTTTTTTGATTTTCCATATGAAGTTAAAAGTTGTTCTTTCAAAGTCTGTAAAGAATTGTGTTGGTATTTTGATGGGAATTGCATTGAATCTGTAGATTGCTTTTGGCAGAATGGCCATTATCACTGTTAATCCTACTGATCCATGAGCACAGGAGATCTTTCCATCTTCTGATATCTTCTTCAACATCTTTCTTCAGAGACTTGAAGTTTTTTTTTCGAACAGGTCTTTCACTTGTTTGATGAGAGTCACACCAAGGTACTTTATATTATTAGTGGCTATTGTGAAGGGTGTTGTTTCCCTAATTTCTTTTTTGGCCCCTTTGTCTTTGACCACAAAATAGAAACAGAAGGAACATTACCAAACTCATTCTATGAAGCTACAGTCACCTTGATACCCAAACCACAGAAAGACCCAACAAAAAAAGAGAGCTTCAGACCTATCTTTCTTATGAACATTGAAGCAAAAATACTCATTAAAATACTTGCAAACCAAATCCAAGAACACATAAAAGATATCCACCATGACCAAGTAGGCTTCATCCCAGCCATGCAGGGGTGGTTGAGTATACAATAATCCATCAATGTAATCCACTATATAAACAAACTGAAGGAGATGCCGAAAATGCATCTGACAAAATCCAACACCCATTCATGTTTAAAGTCTTGGAGAGATCAAGGATACAAGGCACATCCCTAAACATAGTAAAGGCAACATACAGCAAGCCTATAGCCAACATCAAACTAAAGGAGAGATACTCAAATTAATCCCACTGAAATCAGGGACAAGGCAAGGCTGCCCACTCTCTCCTTATCTCTTCAACACAGCACTCGAAGTCCTAGCTAGAGCAGTAAGACAACTAAAGGAGATCAAGGGGATACAAATCGGAAAAGAAGAAGTCAAAGTATCACTATTTGCAGATGATGTAATAGTATACATGAGTGACCCCCAAAATTCTACCAGAGAACTCCTTCAGCTGATAAACACCTTCAGCAAAGTAGCTGGATATAAAATTAACTTAAAAAAATTAGACTTTGTTTATAACAGACTACATACTTTAAGAACAGTTACAAAACAATCAGGAAAACCATATGTAAAAGTTATATTCAAAATGTTTAGCTCATTTGTATTTGGCAATATTGAAGAAAATACTATCTATCCTATAAGGACTCACTAAGTAGCTCTGCCTGGCTTGAAACTAATTATGTATATCAGGTTTATCTGAAGCTCAGAGTAATTTTCCTGTCTCTGCCTGTCAACTGCTGTTATAAAAGACACGTACTACATTGTCTGGCCTGCACTATGTGTCTTAATAGGAAGAGAAAGGGTTTAAAAAGTCCCTTCATGAACAAAATAAAAGAAATTATGAAAAATTAATGTATGAATATCCCCTATCAAAACTGCTATGTTTAAACAATATAACATCTTTATAAAGTAGTTAGAAAATAAATTTCTTCCCAAATATTTTTGAAATTTTAAATTAACTATTTGAAAATTTTGTACAGTGCATTTTGTTAATATTCACCCTATCTTCTGTCAGATCCACCCTTTTTTCCTTAGCCACTCAACTTTTTGTCCCCTTGCAACGTCTCTCTTTAATTTTCCCTTTAAGTCCAGTTTTTTATATTTTTGGATGTTTGGCTTTCAGCTGGAGTTTGGTTGACCTACTAGGGCCCTTAGTATTAATGAAAACTGTCTCTACCTCTCCCAGAAGCTAGAAACTGCCGATAGTTCTTCAGCTAGGGGAGGACTTGATGTTCAGCTCCTCTCTCCATGCTGTGATTTTATTCAGTTTGAGCTTGCACAGATCTCACGAGTGCTGTCATAACTGCAGTGAGTTCATATGTGCAGCTACCCTCTTGTATTCAGAAAATAACTTCCTTGTAGTTACTCTGATTCTTAGACTCTTTCTACCTCCTTTTCTGCAATGATCTCTGTCTGAGTATGTGATATAGACATCCCATGTAGGACTCAGCATTTTGTACGGTCTTATTCTCTGGATCTTGTCCAGTTAACCATATACTGTACAAACAGATATCT